TTTCTGCCACAGGAAAACTAGAAACAGACAGGAAGACAAATCCTCTCTAATTTTTGTCCAAGAAAACACATTTTATTTTATTTTGACAAATTATATCATATAAATTAACATGTTAGTAACTTTTCTTAATTGTAAATCAAAAAAACTATTTAAGAATTTTTATTAATTAATCAATATAATATTAGTTTATTGTCTTAAAGTTGTCCAAGGACAAAAAGCTTATAATGTAAGCCAACACAGTAAGTATTTTTTTTTTGTAGCACTACAAAAAGTCACAAGATCAAACCATTACAGAAGATATAATTTATTGATATTTCTTTTTAATGATTTTGTATTTTGGTACTCCTAAGCCATTTTCTAAATTAATTATTCCCTGCAGAGATCCATATAACCAATATACAATTTTTCTAAAGTTTAATATATTAAAAATTTAATCTATTTTATACCTATTAAATATTGTGCTAAAGTTATTCTTGTGTGGCAATAAAATCAAGTAGGCATACAGGTCATTTTAAGCTAAAATTAATCAATTCTATTTAGTTAAAGAGTTATCTAAATATCAAGAATAGTCTATGAAATATTAATAATGTAAATAACCCTCTATATTTAAAGATATTTACAACTTATGTAAAACCTATACCATTACTCAAACTCCCAGTTAATTTTTTTTATTCTGAGTTACACTTTTCCAAGGAAAAACAGAGTAAAGAAGTACATATCTTTGGAATTTTTTATCATAAAGGGTGTAAAATAGAAAATAAAAATAATTGATGGAAGCCATTTTCAGATGTATATAAATTTATTATGGTAATGGCTAAGTATTTTTATTTTTAAGGAAAGAAATAGGTTTAGATATACAGAAAATCTATTTTTACATCAAAATGTCTCTCTCCCTTTTTTCTCTCTCTCCCTCTCTCTCTTCTTCCCTCAGGTTTATTCTTGAAGTTTTTATAGACAACCAGGTCCTTGTTAGAAATAGATATTTTCTTTGGTAATTAAAAATAACAATGTCACTAAAAAATAATATAGTGCTCATTTAAAAAATGTCCACTGGAGATCCCTCATCCTGATCCCTTATCCTTTTTCATACTGTCTTTTTTTTTTTTTTGAATTTTTTATTTTTATTGCATGTATTGGGGTTACATTGATTAATAAAATGATGTAGGCTTCAAGTGTGCAGTTCTTTAAACATCATCTGTATCTTGTACTAGAGGCCTGGTGCATGGATTCGTGCACTGGTGCGGGGCATGGCCTGCGGGGATCAGCCCATTGTGGGAGCACTGCTCATTCCCAGTCAGTTGAGTGGCTGTGGACTCACCCTCTGAGCGGCTGCTCCCACTGTGGAAGCACACTGACCACCAGGGGACAGCTCCTGCATTGAGCATGTGCCCCCTGGTGGTCAGTGTGCATCATAGTGACCGGTCGTTCTGCTGGTCGTTCCGCCATTCAGTCTATTTGCATATAAGGGTTTTATTATATAGGATGCTGAATCATTTTAATATACAAGAAGAGAAACATATCCTAGAGTTAATTAAACATCTTTCCTTTCATATTCCAAAGCATCTGGTAACTCTAATACATTATTCTCCTACTTGTGGTCCAGTGCACAAAATTTGTGCACATTAAAAGAGAATTAATTAGAGGAAATATTTTAATATTGCTCTTCACGTCCCCTGGCTTGGCGCTAGGCTGGGAGGCAGCCTCACGTCCCAGGCTGGCTGCAAATCCCCGCATCTTCCCTGCCTCCCCCTGCCTGACTTGCACCCAGCCTCCTGCTGTTTGGTCCTACAGTGTCATTGTGTGATGACCATTTGCATATTAGCCTTTTATTATGATGATGCTATCTGGCCCAACTTTTTGATTATTATGTGTGATAAATTCCTGGAATGTAATCACCCAGCCCAGGAGCCTGAATATTTGCTACATCCTGTCAAGCTGTCTCCAGAAATGCTGTTCCTTATATTCCAGACCAGTGCTATCAGGTGTCTATTTCATCACATCCTCTCCAGTACTGAATATTGTGATTTTTCAAAAGTTCCAGGTATCTTTCCTTTGCAATAACTTGATTACTTAAATTTTCTCATGTATATTATGTACCTTATTTCTTCTTTAGTTCAAGGTCTTTGCTCAAACATATTCTTCTTTGAGTAATCCTATTTTGTTTGAGTTTACGGGAAGCAATAGCATCTTCCATGGAGGAAGGTGGAGGGCTAGAGGGGGTAGAGTGGTGCTGGAGAAGATGTGGTTGGTAATGGATCCTGTTAAAGGTTAGATCAGAGGTGAGGGGGTTAAGGGCGGTATTAGGTTCTGAGACTGAAATGCCAGGGTGAGGGCATGCAGTCCAAGGTCACCATTTGGGAGGGTGGGTCCCTGGGGTCTGGTGGGGAGGATGAGGGTCAGACCTGGTTTTGGTGAGGGATGCAGGAGGGGAGTGGTTTATCTGGGAAGGCCCATGGGTCTGGGCAGCTCCCCGGATTCAGGCACCTAGCACTCGCCGCCAGTGCTGGGGCCACTGCACTGTCCAGGCCCCACGACAGCCAGACAGACTTGCAGCTTCAGCTTCGGCTGCACTGCAAGGGCTGTGAGAGGTCACTTGGCCCCCAAACCTGTACCTCCTTGCCTCTGAGCTGGGCGCATGCAGCTCTTGAGGGAAACCGCCTGAGCGGTTCCTCTAGGTAACATCACCTGGTAATGCTATCAGCAGGGCGTGCCACACAGCCTGATGCTGCGTGGGCTGGGGAAGACTTTCTGGGAGGAGGTCCTCTGTCCCCTAACCCCACCACCGCAGGCCCGGAGCCCTCATCCCCGCACATGTGGTTGTGTGTAACAGGCACCCAGAGGCTGGGGTGGGGGGAGGGGATTCTCGTAGTGTCAGAAACCACTGTTCCCAAGGGGCCCACGTCTGGTCTACGGCAAGCCTGTGAGCAAATAATTATGATCCCCATTTTGCATCTACTCCCAGACTGCAGTAACATTTCCCCAAGTGGGACTGGATCCTATAAACCAATTCCCATGCTCCACTACACTGAATAAGAATGAGGATCCGAGCTTACCTTTCACATGAGGAGCCCATGAGGCAGCCTCACATCCCCGGCCAGGCGTTGGGCTGGGAGGCAGCTTCATGTCCCAGAGGCACAAGTCCCCGCCCACCAGCTCCTGCTGTGCGCACAGCCTGTTGAACAGTCATTACAATTACGGAGTAATGACAATTTGCATATTACCTCTTTACATATATAGACTAGAGGCATGGTGCATGAAATTTGTGCATGGGACGGGGGGATGGGGCATCCCTCAGCCTGGATTGCAATGACACCAGCATTCTGCACCCTGGCCTCTGGCCAGAGGCTCCTCACTCCCTCCACATGGCCCGGGCACAGGATGCTGGCCTCACGTCGGCCCCAGAAGCCCATCCCTCCCTCCACATGACATCTAGATACTCTAGTTTGAATTTCCTATGAATGAGGCTAGAACCTGAACAGCATCCTCAACAGGGCCTATTTCCTGTGGCTAATTTGGGCTCCTCATACTGTGGTCTCGGGAAAGTTGAACTACTTTCATAGCTTGTAAGAGGCAGCATTCCAAGTAGCCAGGTGTCCCACCCTGCCCCAGCTGCTCTGGGCCAGTGGGCAGCACTCACAGGTGCAGAGAGGCTAAGGTGGGGCAGTGGGCAGTGTGCACAGGTGCAAAGTGGCCCAGGCAAGCCAGGCCAGAATGCTGGCATCATTGTGATGGTGATGACTCCAGCATCCTGGCCTGGCTGCAGCCATTTTGTCGTGTAGTGACGTCAATTTGCATATTCTGTCTTTATTAGATAGGACTCAACCTCAGACTTATTCTGTTTTTCTTTACGACATCTTATATGTCCTTGATATGCTTCCTGGCACCTCCAACAATAATTTATGTATCAAAAAGACTAAATAAATTTACTTAATTAAGGTTAAATTTATAGCATTAAAAGTAATTATTTAGTTTTATGCTGCCATGATATATTAACTCACTCACTCAATAAACATTAGTGTTCAGATGAAGTATAACTTCTTACCAATGTAGGAGAAAAGGTCAGTGAGCTAATATTAAATTCTTTAGTAATTACTATTAATTTTATAAATCTATATAACAGATTTAACTCTCATTCAAAATGATATATTGATTCATTAAGAAATATAATGTGCTACTAAAGAATTAAGGAAAAAGAGAATCTAAAGAGAAATAGAGGAAGAAAAAAATAAAGCATACTATAGATATGTTCCAAGAAATATACACAGAAAAATTTGTGGGGATGAAAATCTGGAGCAGCCAAGAGAGACATACTGTAACTTAAAACTGCTGCTCTTCCTCTACTGTTTACTAAGGTGCTGGAGTTTTCGAAATAAATTCTTAGTTTCACTATTGGAAACTATTTTTTGCCTTTTTTCCCCATTTTTATTGAGTTGTTTTCTAATCTGCAATGCATTTAAACTGTACCTGGAACATCTTAAAGGAAATATGTAAATACAGGATGAGGCAAAAGTAGGTTATGTGAAACAGTTTATTTTTGTATTATTATTTATTAATGATTTTCTTATTTTCCATATGAACAACTGTAAACCTATTTTTCACCACCCAGTATTTATGATAGGATTGTTATGAACCAATTTGCTGAAAGTTACTTTTTAATTTCTTTCATCAAACATATTTATGGCCAACACAGGAAGAATATTTGATTTATAAACAGCTTTTGTAAGAGAAAAAAAAATGGAAAAGAGATCACTGGAAGGTTCTTTATACTCTGTCCTAAAGTGATAATAAAAAATATTGAATGGAAAATAATATCCATTCTGTTTCTCTTAGAAGGCATGCATTTTAATTATATTTATTTGTCAATATAATTAATTCTTATTACATTCTGTATACCTCTCAATAAAGGGGTAATATCATAGACATTAAGCTTCTAATTTTAACTACTGATATCATATGCACATTTCCATAAAGCATTAACAATATTTGTGTGTTTTTTACAGATATTGGCTGACCTAGAAAATCACGCATTATTTAAGAATGATCTGGAATGTCAAAAGTTGATTCTGGAAGCAATGAAATATCATCTATTGCCAGAAAGAAGAACTTTAATGCAAAGTCCAAGAACTAAACCTAGAAAATCTACAGTTGGAACTCTGTATGCTGTAGGAGGAATGGATAACAACAAAGGTATATAAATCTAGATCTATATGTAATACACTAGAGGCCTGGTGCATGAAATTTGTGCACCGGGGATTGTCCCTAGCCCAGCCTGCACCCTCTTCAATCTGAGACCCACAATCTGTGGACTGCTGGCTCCCAACCGCTCGCCTGCCTGCCTGCCTGATCACCCCCTAACCACTCCCCTGCTGGCCTGATTGACGCCTAACTGCTCCCCTGCCAGCCCGATTGCCCCCAACTGCCCTCCCCTTCTGGCCCAGTTGTCACCAACTGCCCTCCCCTGCTGGCCATCTTCTGGCGGCCATCTTTGACCACATGGGGTGGCCATTTTGTGTGAGTGTGTGATGGTCAATTTGCATAATACCTCTTTATTATGTAGGATACCCTATGTCATACCATGACACAATTTTAACATTGCAATCTATATAATGTCAACAAAGTTCTCATAAACTTTGTTTATCCATTAAGATTTAAAATTAAGGGGATAATTAGAAAACACCTCTTATTTTTAGTCTGTAGCTGCTGCCTCTGCTTCTTATTCATCTTTAAGTCCTTTAACTCTGATGAATTATGTTCGAATTTCATATGAAACAAAAAAGGGGATTTAAAGCACTTAGAAAGCACAGGCAAAATAGGTTTTGGAAATATTTAGAACTGTATTTCCATTCTAAGTAAAGAAAATGTAATGTCCCCAGGTACTTGCTTGCTAAAATCAATATTATGTAGAAAGTTTAGGCTTGTGAGAAGTTCTGAATTTCACACAGAAGCCAGTCAAATATTAAAAAAAAATATTACAAACAACTATAAAAATGTGACAGTTATAACTTTCAAAATTATTAGTTTTAACAGTTTTGGCCTTCAAAAGAAAGTGGATGATTTGTTTATAAATTGAACATGGGTACTTGAAGGTTTTGTTCTTGCATTTCCTAGTTAAAAAGACTCTTTATAAATATATTTCCTCTTTAGCCTTTCTTATATGGGTGTTAATTTTCTTGAACAAGTACAGAAGAAAAATAATGCATGTCATATGTTTGTGACAAATAAATGATATACCTATCCATAAAATATTTAACTAGAGGCCCGGTGTACAAAAATTTGTGTACTTAGGGGGGTCCCTCAGCCAGGCTTATGCCCTCTTGCAGTCTGGGACCCCTCAGGGGATGTCCACCTGCTGGCTTAGGCCTGCTCCCTGGGGGATCGGGCCCAAGCTGGCAGTTAGACATCCCTCTGGAAGCCCAGCACCTTTCAGGGGATGTCCACTTGCCAGCAGAGAGCAAACCTAAGCTGTCATCCTGGGTGAGGGGCTGATGGCTGTTTGCAGGCTTTTCAAGCCCCCCAAAGTGGGGACCCTCACCCCATGGAGGGTTGGCCAGACTGGTGAGGTGCTGATGCCTGTTTTCTGGCTGGCCACACCCCCTTTAGAGTGGGGGCCCCCACTGGGGTGCCTGGCCAGTCTGGGTGAGGGGCTGAGGGCTGTTTTCAGGCTGGCCAAGCCCCTGGGTGATTGAAGCTCCCAGCCTTTCCTTTTTTTCTTTTTTAAATTCTGGGGTTTATTTACTTTCTATAACTGAAACTTTGTTGCTTTGAGTGGATCTCAGAGCTGCTCGAGGCAGGCGGGAGGGAAGCCTCCTGCTTGCTACAGCTCTGTGGCCACACCCCAGTTCAATCCCCGGTTGGTGCACATGCCGGGGTTCCAGGCTCAATCCTCAGTGTGGGCATGCAGGAGACATCCAATCAATGATTCTCTCTCATCATTGATGCTTCTATCTCTCTCTCCTTCTCCCTTCCTCTCTGAAATCAATAAAATATATTAAATAATAATATTAATAATGTATTTAATTAAAAAATAATTAAATATCATCAATAGAGAATGATGCATTCCCATATTAGTCTTAATGGACAGATCTTGTAGATATTAAATTCTTTTAACTAGTTTAATTTTTTCAAAAGCCTAACTTTCATTAACTGGGATATTGATTTCCAATAATTATCATATTAAATGAATATTAAAATAATAACATATAATAAGCATAACCATCACTTTTCAAGTGTAAATAATATGTTGCTGTAAGAACTAAGAAAATGGCATTAATCTCACTTCCTTTTTCTCTCTCTTCTTCCCTGTCATCCTATGTCCTCCATTTCTCTCTCCCTAATAAACACCATTACTTTAAAAGAACATGTCAGTAGGGGGGAAGAAGAGGGGGGAAGAGATCAACTGAAGGACTTATATGCATGCATATAAGCATAACCATGGACATAAGACACTGGAGGGTAGGGGAAGCCAGGGGATTGTCAAGGGTGAGGGAAAAAAGGAGACATATGTAATACCCTTTGTAATACTTTAAGCAATAAAACTAAAAAAATAAAAATTAAAAAAATAAAATCCTACTCTGAACCTACCATACCATGATCAGCCATTCTCAGAGCGGCCGTGGCAGTCAGGAAGGTTGGCTTCCTCCATCATTGGGAAAACCAAGCCTCCTGCTTGCTCCAGCTCCGTGGCTGCCGGCTGACATCTTGGTTTTGTTAATTTGCATATAGTTAATCTGATTGGCTGGTTGGTGTGGCTTAAGGCATATCGAAGGTACAGTCAATTTGCATGTTCGTCTTTTATTCGTGTAGATGCTCTCAACAGAGTGTGATCCCATAATCAACTTCTACTAAAGGAGCTTTGCTTTGAAAGAATCAGAAAGAAACAAGAAAACTTACTTCAATCTCTGTGAAGTAAGATTATAAATAGTAGCTAATAATTTATGTGATTAGCCCAAACTGGTTTGATTCAGTGGATAGAGCGTTGGCCTGCTGACTGAAAGGTCCCAGGTTCAATTTCAGTCAAGGGTATATGCTGGGGCTGTGGGCTTGATCCCTAGTAGGGGGCATGCAGGAGACATCCAATCAATGATTCTCTCTCATCATTGATGCTTCTATCTCTCTCTCCTTCTCCCTTCCTCTCTGAAATCAATAAAAAATACATTAAAATAAAGAAAGTGGGGAGAAATCCTTAAAACTTTCTAAGATTGCTTTAAAAAAATTAGGGCCACAAATATTCAAATT